GTAAATAATTTATTTATTTAGATATCCAAAATTTTTTTGTAGTAGTAAATATAAAAAAAATTGAAATACAATATAAACTTGTTGGTTAACTTATTATTATTAATATGATAATTTTTATAACGATATATATTAACATTAATTCTTGAATCTGATAATATTTTAGTTTAAATTATATTTAACACTAGTTTTTTATGTAACATTTTATGATTTATTGAAATTTCTATTTAAAAATTTTCTTTCAAATTTAAATGTAGTTTAAAATGAGCTTTTGCACAGCCACAAAATCCTTTAATGTTGTTAAATGATGTGAGAGTATCAATTAGATGCAAATTTTCGCCAAAACATATATATGGTGATCAATGTCGGCCCCTACAAGTTCCATTCAACTCTGAATTTGAACAGTTGAAGGATCATCGAGTTCTCAGGGCGCCTAAAAGTTGATCCCTACAAAGTTCACAGTGACCATTGCGGCGTTTTTATATATATATATATCCTTGACCATAAGAGAGTTTGCTCATGACAATATTGATGGTAAATCCAATAAAATACATATCACTTTTGTAGTATAATTGTTATTTGGGTTTATTTCATGCAATCTTTTAAGCAGTGCATGACAGATATTTGATTAAATGCTTTGAAGAGATCACTTCCTAGTGTATTAAATGTGTCGTTTCATTGGTGAATTCAAGTGAATGAAGTGTTATGAATGTGCCTCTTTCATCCTCAAGTTTTAGCATTTGTTCTTTAGAAGTTCTTTAATATTTTTGAATTGTCATCTCTTGAGCTTTTCAATGAAAATGAATTGGTAAGAATGGAAAGATGGAAATGTGGAAAAGTAAAGTGTATATGAGTAATTTTGGAATGTGAGGTGTATGTGAAGTGTATAAATGTTTAAAAGTGAAAGGGAAGTGTATGTTTTAAAAAGTATATATTATATAAGAGTGATGTTGGAAGGTGAGATGTATGAATTTTGGGAAAATAAAATGATTGAGAGGTAAAGTATGTAATTTTGAAAAGTAAAAGTGCTTTGATGACTATATGTTTTGAAAAGTGTTGAATGATTTGAAAAATGAATTATGCGATTTTGGAAAGGTGAGAAAGGTGTATGTTGAAAAACTAAGAATGGTGAAGATGTGTTTGCATTAAAAAGTGAAGCTTGAGTGTGTGATCTTGATAAGTGAATCGTATGTGTGTGTCTTAAGAGAGGTTTGTGTGTGCTTTGAGAGGATGAATATTGAAAGTGAAAGGTTGTTTTGAAAGGTGATGCTTGCAAAAGATAAAAAGTGATTTTGGGAAATGAGATGAAAATTTTGGAAAAATGAAACATGTAAATAAAAAGTAAAGAATTTTGTTTGGTAAGGAAAAATGATTTGCATTTGTGTATAAAAGTAAAATTTGTGTGTGCTGGTGGGGAAGGATGAAAAGCAAAGTGTGCAAGTGTGAGCGGTAAAGTATTTGTTTTGTGAAAGTTGTGTGAGTTTTGGAAGAGTGGAAGTGGATGTTTAGAAAGAAAAGTGGAAATATGGAAGTTTTAAAGAAAGCAATGCCTCTCTCTCTCTCTCTCTCTTCCCCTTTCTTATGTCTCGGAGTGAATGTTGGAAAGATATAAAGTATACTTCTAAAAGACAAGCAACAAATCGGCGTCCAAGCTCGAAGAAAGGCATGTTTTTTTTAATAAATTTTAATTATTAAATATGCTTCTACTACCTATTTTCTTTTCTTTACTTGCATGAACTGCGATGAATGGTATCGATCGAGTGAACAAAGAACAAGGACTAAAGGCGTCAGTCGCCTTCATCCAACCGGGTGGAGGTGCTACGGGCGGAACCACTGGGTCATAGCCCCCGGTGACTGTAAGTATTCTAAAACTTAGAAAACCCTTAGGGGGGGCCTTAGTGTGGTTTGTGTGAACCTTTCCCCATTAGGTTCCTATAGTAACTTCAATTTTATTAGGATTATTTTTTTATTTTATTTTAGATCTATAAACCCTTTTACACGCACGCAATGCTCTAAGGGTTAGTAATAACAAAATTTTTCATCTCATATAACATTAGTGACATTTAATGACAAAAATTAAGGACTGAGTCTTAGAAAACTTAGATTTAGGATGCATGCACATTTTATGATAGAAACATAAAATATAGAATACTTAGTAACATTCCCCTTAGATATTAATGTATATTATCGATATAACCTTAATTAAATCTAATCAAAATTAACCAATCAATTAAATAAAAAATTTAAATACACTAATGATAATTCAGATAAAAATACACGAAAACTACATAATCATTAATAACCAAATCATAATTAATACACATAACCACTAAGAGATCAAATTTGAAAATAAATTTAAAATTGAATCTAATTAATATTTTAATCATCTTATAATCAAATAAATCTTTAAAAAATAAATAAAATCTTAAAAAATATAATAAAGCTTTAATGATTTAATAAATCAATTAATGATTCAATATATCATTTAAAATTAATAAATTATCAAGATATTAAATAAAAATTCTTAAAAATTTAATAAAACATTAACACTTAAATAAATCATTAAAAAACTTTATAAATCATTTTAAAATTAATAAATCATCTAAAATATAATTAACTCATTAAAAAAATTCAATAAATAATTAAATTAAATAATATAATGATTAATTAAAATATACTAAAGAACCAATATTATTAATCAACTTTAACAATTAAAATTCTACCTAAAATGAACTCTAAAAATATTAAAGATATTAAAACTTAAACCTGAACATAAAATTCCATTTAACCTTTCAACAAACTAAATTTAATCAACTAGAAAATTTTAACCAATAATTGATCTAAGACATATCCAAACCACACAGCTTACTACACACACTTAGATTTGTTTGTTAGGATAACCGACTCTAGCTTTAGGTTAGGCCAGTATTTACTTTCCTACTGCTGTGTGATGGGCATTCTCGGTTTTCACTGCATGCTATTTGAAATTGATGTGAGTGTTTATTTACTTTTATTGTTATTTGTGATGTGATTTGATTGACGATTAGATTACTCATAGGTTAGGAGCGATTTGATTGTTCACAAAATTTTCTGCAAGTGACCACATCGTGCAGGGCGATAAAAAGGTGGCTACATGTGCTTCAGCTGCTTAGCCCTCAAATAAAAAAGAGTGGTCATGTATGGCTGATGAATTTAATTTGAATGTGAATATATAACTGTTTGGGAATAATTTTATTATAAATGCTTAGGATTTAAGCATGCTCAAATGCCTATTAAATATCTTGGAGTGCCTCTATTTGCTGGTAGAGGTAAATCTTTTTTGTTTGATTATCTCATTACTTCGGTTCATAACAAACTATTATCTTGGGAGTCTAATTTCTTTAGCTTTGGTGGTAGGATCATTCTTATTAAAAGTTTTCTTTGTGCTTTTCCGGTTTATAGTTTTCAACAAGGTTTTGAAAACCGGACCGGACAACGAACCGAAACAAGGAGAGGTTCACGGTTCAACCGGTTCGACCGGTCTAACCGGGGTCGAACCGGATGACGTAATAAATAATATGTATTATTTAAATTTAATACGATTAACATAAAAATAATGTTATCATTCAAAGTATGAGATAAAAAATTAAATTAAAAAAAATAGATTCTTGGAACAAAGAGAGCACATGGGGAGATCATGTGAAGATGTTTCATGATGCTTTGAGGACAAAAGTACTTATCATATAAAATGTATTTAACTTTAATTAAATATTTTTAATATATATTAATTAATTTATTTAAAAAAATACTTAAAATTTGTGAGATTTGAACCGGCCGGTTCAAAAATAACCGGACCGGTTCACCGGTTCGCCGGTTGAACCGGCGATTCTGACCGGTTCAGTCCGGTTCTTTGCAGAAGCGGTTTTAGGGCTGACCCGGACCGGCCTTGTGACCGGTTCACGGTTGAATCGGTCGAACCTACCGGTCCGGTCCGGTTTTTAAAGCACTGGTTTTCAATCTATTTTTCCTACTCAAACTGTGTGTGATAGACTTCACAAGATTATTAATAATTTTTTTTTTAGAGGCATTTCCTCTAGTGCTAAAATTCATTGGGCTGCTTGGGAAAAATATTGTGGTGTTCTGGAGGAAGGTGGTCTTGGGTGCAAGAACTTTAAGGACCTTGCTAAGGCTTTTTCCTTTAAACTTTGATATAACTTTCGTGCTAATGTAACTCTTTGGGCCAAATTTATGACTACTAAGTATTGTGATGCTATGCATACTACTAATTGCTTCTCTAAACAAAGTGAATTAGAGTTTGAAAAAGGCTGTGTAGGATTAAATGGGAGGTTGAGCCTTACATCTTTTGAGGTATTGGCGGAGGTAATACTTTTTTTCTAGCAAGATCGTTGGTTAGATAAAAATTCTATTGATTCCCTTCTCAATTCGGTTTCTATTTCTTCTATTAAGGTTAATACCTTTTTCAATAATAATGAGTGGGACTACAATAAGCTTGCTAATGAGGTTCCTGATTGTATCCTCCAGAGAATTGTTAACTTACCGATCAATACTGCTTCTAGAGATATTTTGATGTGTGATCTTTCCAAAGATGGTGGCTTTTATTTAAAGAATGCTTGGCATACCTTTAGAGATAAAAATAATGAAGATAACACTTTCCTTAATATATGGCATAAAAGCATTCCTTCTATTATTTATGTGTTTGTTTGGAGAGTTCTGCATAGATTTATTCCTACAGATGATAATCTAATTACGAAAGGTTATATCTTGGCCTCTAAATGCCAATGTTGTTTTTATAAAGAGAGTATGCACCATGTTTTTTTATCGGGGCCTGTTGCTATTAGAACCTGATTTATTTCGATGATTTGTTTCAACTAAACTGTTTTAACTCTAATTTGTCTATTAATTACATGCTTAAATTATGGTTTATTAACTCTAAAGGGCACATTCGTAATCTTATTTCTTCTATCATTTTGTGGTTTCTTTGGTTGGAAAGGAATCAATCCTTGTTCAATAATGTGAAAATGAACCACCAGAATGTTATTCAGAAAGTGAAGGATAAGGTGTTAGCTCTTCTGGCTGTTAACTTGATTTCTGCTAAGAACTTTAAAAATTGTTACTTTGTTGGTAATTCTTTAGGCTTGAAGTTGGAGAGTGACCCTAATTTTGCTAATGTTATTTATTGGCATAAACCTCCCATTAATTTCTTTAAGCTTAATGTGGACGGCACTAGTACTGATTGTATTGTTGATTGCGGTGGTGTCATTAGGGATTGTAATGGTGGCCTAATTGTTCTGGTCTTATTCAAGGTACCTACCATACTGCTATTTTTAATGCTATTTTATATGGTATTCAGTTATGCACTTCTCTTAACGTTTTTAATTTGCACATTGAGGTTAATTTTGGCTTGGATTATAATCTCTTTCTTACTGCTGATGAGACTTGTTGTTCTCCTTACCTCTTCTATTTGGTTAGGGAGATTAAAACTCTTTTGTTGTCTCTTAACTTCTCTTTTCACCATATCAGTAAGGATGAGAATGCTTGTGCTTCTTGGATGGCGATGTGGGGTTGCAGTCGGTCTTATTTTGCTGATTTTATGTGGGACACTTGTCTTGCCCATCTTCGTGGCTTACTCAATCTTGATGCTTGTGGTTGTCCCTATGTTAGTTCTTAACTTATCTGTGTTGGTCTCTGGTTTCTGCTGGTGGTTGGGTTGCTGGTCTCTGTTTTTTGGCTGGGTTTTTGGCTTTCTTTTGATTCTTATCTGGTTTGTTATGCTCTGAGTTGAGATCGATGACTGGGCTATTGCTGCATGGTCTGCCTGGGTGTGGAAAGACAAAGTTTTCTCATGCAATTGCCAATGAGACTGACTTGCCATTCTACAAAGTTTTTGCTGAAGTGATTTCTGGTGTCTCAGGTAGAGTGTCCATTAGTTCTCTTTCTCGATGCAAATTTTATTGCAAAGAGAAAGTCTTTCTAATTCCTTAGGATGATTTTCATGCTTTGAATTAAGTACAAAAATAAGTCTTTATTATGTGTAGGCTATACCTGATGGCCTTAGCTTTTTAGCAGCAAGCAGCTCACAACATATCAGGTTTTTCGAATTGACTAATTGAGGGTACTCAAAGGATTCATTGAAACTACATGCAAGAGATATCTGTAATCTGAGAGGTTAGGGTTATCGAAGTATTGGACCAACAAGCGAGAATAATTTATAATTATTACTCTAACACATCAGTGGAACACCAATTTCGGACTTATTCGACTGAGTTATCATTTTATTTACAACAGTCTTTGCATAAACAACTTGTCCATCAGTATTTCCTCCTAATTTATTAATCAATTATATTTAATCCATGGCTATATGACTTGGAACTAAGAAAAAACTAAAAAAGTGTAAATGAAATTAACCAATTCTATATAATTTTTAGTTATAGCAAGATTCAATCAAAAATTTCAGAGTCATCCTACATTTAACTCATCAAAAGTAGATTCATTACTTTAGGAAAGTGCATGCAACGAACAAGAAGACGTAAGAGACCAATGAGGTAAGCAGTTCAAGGCTCCAAGTTTGCTGCAGTAGAACTGATGGAATCATGGGAACCACATTAGAACCGACAATCCATCCAATAGCGAGAGCTGCAAAACTGACACAGAGCAATAATGGTAGATGATTAGCATGTGAGAGTTCAACAGATTCCCTAAATTTAATTCATTACTTACCCAGCTATTATAGCTCTTGGAACATTATTCATTTTATCATTCAGAAAATAGATCTGATGGCCTTAGCTTTTTAGCAACAAGCAGCTCACAACTTTTAACCCTGACTCTAATCAAAATTTTTACAATCGCAAGCTTAAGTAGTGTACATTTTTTCTTGTATGGTTAAACTTCACTTAGGAAATATGTTTTCTCAATATTGATCTAAGTCGATAGTGTGTTAACTCACTAATTTAAAGTTGGTTTCAAGTTTGAAAGTTATTCTTGAATTTTTAAATTCAACTTGTTCGATAATTTTTTATTCTTCTCATATCTTATTTATGACTAATTGAAAAATATGGTTATTTCGGGTGCATTTGAAAAAAGCATACATAACCTTTTCAATAAGGCATCTCAAACTGCACCTTCAATTATATTCATAGATGATATAGATGACATTGCTTCCAAGAGGAAAAACTTACAAAGGGAGACGGAACGCAGAATAGTGACACAACTTCTGACTTGCATGGATGAGTCACAACAAATTCTGAGAGCAATGGATAATGATTTTGGCCAAGAAGTATCCGAAAAAATAACATATAAAATGTTTAGTTACGTTCTTGTAATTGGAGCTACAAGCAGACTCGATGCAGTTGACCATGCTCTGAGAAAACTTGTGTGCTTTGATAGAGAGATAGTTTTAGGTGTCCCCGATGTAGATGCGCGTGCAGAAATATTGTCATTGCTGACTCGTAACATTAGAATTGATGGTAAATTTGACCGCTTCAAGATAGCTAGGTTCACATCAGGTTTTGTTGGTACTGATTTGGCAAAATTGGTGAGTAAAGCTAGGAATTTTTCTATGAAGAGAATAATAGATAAAAGAAGGCCTCAACTTGGGGAAAATGTTGACTGGTGGAGGTATCCATGGACGTCTGAAGAAATTGAGAACATTAGCATTACTATGCTTGACTTTGAGGTAAGGCATTCATAAGTGTTAAACTTGACACTATGTAACCAAACTGCTTTACTATGTTGTATATAAAATTTACATTTTGTACCATGGAAGATATTAATACTTCTTTGCCTTTATGTTTTATGATTTACATTTTTTCTATTATGATTTGTTTAAGACTTTGATAGTGTGTGGATTTGTAGAATTTACATAACATATTATTTATGCCCTAAACACTGTTATATGGTGTACATATAGTTGATTTTTGAACCTATGCAAACGTTAGGTTATATTATCTTATGCTTAATGCTATGTGTGAAAATGTATTACAAAAAAAGCATTGAGATGAAGTCCATGCAGCTCAGGTCGCACAGGCATCTATCATTTATGTTTAAAAATGGCTTCTTGTTTTACTTCTTTCAGGAAGCTACAAAATTGGTCCAGCCCTTTACTAGAAGAGGGGGGTTTTCCTCGATTTCTAATATCAAATGGGAAGATGTTGTTAGCCTTGATTCATTGAAGAATGCGTTTAATCGTTGCATTATTCAGCGCATAAAGCATCCAGAGGATTATGAGGTAATCTACATGAATAAACTAATTGGTAATTATAATCAATTCGCTTGTATTCAGGTCATTGGACCACTCAACTTGTTTGTTTGCCTGAAAATATTCATGTGAAATTTTATCAAAATAAGTTAAAAATTTGTGTTGTTGAGCTGTAAACGAAATTTGATTCTTATTGCTTTTTCAGTATTTTGATACAATTGTGTCACTTTATTCTGGATAAAATTTTATTCTTAGACGGAATACCACTCTAAATGGTTATCCTTATGAAGTTATTATTGAGGGTATCTATATTTTGCAATTGTGCTGGCAAGTGTTGAGGACTGATCATGTTGTTATGTTTTGGTAATTTTGATTAAATGCTGCTATAATAAAAATGAATTAAGTTAAAGACAGATGAGAGAGAAAAATTTTTTTTTTGTAAGTTTTTTTATGTTTTGGTATATCATTATATCTGCTGATTACATCTTTTCTTACAATCACCTGACGTATCTATTATCACGAATAACGTTTGTTAAACATAATCAGTGATCAAAGAATTGTAAACAATAATGCAAAAAGAACTGAAAACATTATCAAATTAACAAATATCTTTCCCTTAACACATGCGTTGTCAACTCTTGCAGTTGGGAGTCTAATGGCATTTTCTCCTGTAACTTTCCCACGATAATCTTGCATGCCTAAACTGTCATTTGTTCTTTTACCATGAATTACGTTTGTATCTAATAATTCATACTTATTCTCACTGGTTAATAGAACACTACTATCCTTTGGTTTAGCTTCTTTGGGTTATGTAAGAAAAATAGATTGCTCTCTTATCTTATCAATAGCAACATCTTCTCATGCATGAATGGAAGAATTTTATGAAATAATAATCTGTAGTTCATTACTTATAAAAATGCTAGCTAAACTTCGACATTGAAATAAAAAAGGGGCGTACCTTGTGCATGGAGATCCTACTAATGCAAGGCCTCAACAGGGGTTGAAATATATCTCAATTGTCATTTGCTCTCAGTATTGGTTTTACTGTATGTAAATTTATTGCTTCCAAGTAAAAACTACTAAGTTTTGTTTATGTTATCTTTAGGAGCTTGGGGTGGACATGGAGGTTGGTTTTATTCTTCATGGACCTCCCGGATGTGGTAAAACATTGATTGCAAAGGCTCTAGTCAATGAGGCTGGTGCCAACTTTATACATATTAAGGTGCGTGTAAACTGTGATGTTTTTATTTAATTCTTCATGCTCTTTTACCAGTGTCATCAATACTATGAAAACTTAGCACTTAAACAAAATCTTGTTCGTAATGCTCATCGTCCAAAATAATTGTCTTCTTTGCATTCCTGAAATGCATGCTCTTGAATTTTTGGGGAAATATGCTGGAGAAAGTGAGAAAGAAGTTAGAGCAATATTTAGCCGTGCTAGGATTTGTTCTCCTTGCATAATTTTCTTTGATGAAGTGCGTGCTTTATTCCTATCATTTAATTATTTCAGTTATTTATTTAAGTCATTTATGTTCTTAGTATTGCAATTGCAGGTCCTAGTATAACTAAATTTATTATAGTGTCATCTAACGTTTAGGGTTTAGTTGTGTCAAGACTAACTAATATCTACTAATTATCAGGTAACAACTAAAGCGAATATCAAATGCTAAAAGTTAAAAAAAAATCCTATTTTGAGTGGTAGTTATTTTGATTTTATGTTATTTATTTGTTTAAGGTGGATGCATTAACATGTAAGCGAGGAAGAGAGGGAGCATCGGTTGTGGAACGGGCCCTGGATCAGGTTATTTTTTTATGTTTGTTTTCTTGTGGATATAGTATGCCATTGTATTCTTGTGTGGTCTATATTAAATGATGTTCCTTACATCTCTGTTTAAATTTCATTTGAAAGCTACGATAAATTTTCTTTTTTGAATTGCAGCTGCTCATAGAAATGGATGGTGTTGATTAGCGGCATGGTGTTTATATCATTGGAGCTACAAATAGGTGTCCTTGCTTATTATTGCAGTTTATTTGGTTTCATTAATGTTTCTTCTATACTTCTACTTTTAAATGATATGTCAGGCTTGAAGTGATCGACCATGTTGTTCTACGACCTGGTAGATTTGGAAGGCTCTTTTATGTTCCACTTTTGAGCACTGATGAACGGGGTTTGATTTTAAAAGCACTTGCTCACAAAAAGCCTATTTCTCCATGTTTTGATTACAATATGCAATATAAGCAAGGACTATTGTTTTTTGTGAGCAAGTGCTTTTAAAATCAAACCCCGTTCATCAGTGCTCAAAAGTGGAACATAAAAGAGCCTTCCAAATCTACCAGGTCGTAGAACAATAGGGCCGATCAATTCAAGCCTGACATATCTTTTATAAGTAGAAGTCTAGAAGAAACATTAATGGAGCCAAATAAACTGCAATAATAAGCAAGGACTGATGGGGACATTAGTTTGTGGAAGGTTTATCAAAGGCATCACCACCGATCTAAGTAACCACCTTAGAGGTGATGGGTCTAAAAGTTGTTGAATCCTTCCCATTTTCTGGTTTTGCCATAAGGCTGCTTTTACTTTCCTCTTATTGTCTGCTTTACATGAGAGCTTGCAATTTTCCTTGGAATTGCCATGGATTGGATGTAATAACTTGTTGCTTTCTTGTATATGGAGGGCTATAGCTGTAATATATGGCTCAGAGGAGCAAAAGAAACTTCTTTTAAGAAGTTAAGTAATCTATGTTTGGTTGAATACTAGATACAATAGACAAAGTTATGGAATTGGTGGTTACAATAACAGTGTCTGCTTTTACTTCTCTGTTCTTGAGTTTTTCATCTCTTCTTGCTTACTCTCTGATCTATTCTGATCCTCCATTATATACCAAGGCTTTATGAATCCTCCATTCATATTTGCCTCTTTTTCTTTGCATGGCTTAATCCTTCTCTGATTTACACATTTTATTGTAAGATATTGTGTTTTTCAAATCATTATTCTTCTATGGAGCCATTGTTAAACTTTAAAACTTTATACTTTTAGAAAGTGAACATTTGCAAGAAATTCATTTAGATTCTGATCACAAATGGATCCTTCATGTTCTTAGATTAGGCACATAAATCTTTCAAATTCATTATAGTTTATGCCTTTAGGACCTTTTAGATATTTGTTTGTTGAGCTTTTATTTATTCAAATATACGCACATTTGTCTGCTTATATAATCAAACTGTCTTGTTTATTTTATCTGCTTATTTAAGATCAGCTCTTTTCCTTCTGAAATCTTCCCAGTTTTTTTTTTTTCTTTATTAGATATGAAATTTTTTTATAAGATTTATTGCCTTTTTGCAAATGGCATTCTCCAACAACTAATAATCAAACTAGAGCAAGCTACAAAGTCTGGTTTTGGTTAGATGATTATTACTGGAAAGTCAGGTGAGAGTTGTTGAAATTTTTTGATGAAAACCTGATGCTAAAGGCCTTAAAACTTAGATTCAGTTTTACTTAGGACGGGATTTTTTAATGCTTCTTAAAACAATTTTCCACATCAACGGTTTGATTATTATCAGCTTTGGTTCTTCTTATGTATATATACACTTATATTAAATTGCTACAGTATGAATGAAGGAGAACCATTTACAGCTTCATCTTCTCATTTACATATCTATGTTCTCTTCATATTATGTTTTACTTTAAGGTTTGTGATGCAGGCAATACTTGTTTAATAGTAGTACAATTTTTTTTTAGTTTAATTTTTTTTTATAATAAATATTGTTTTAAAAACTAATAATAAAGTCATCCCAATTTAGAAGATGTGTCAAGCTAGTGAATAATAAATAGAAGAAAAAACTTTATTTTTGTATGAATTAACAGAACTCTTTGTTTAGAGAGGAATAAAAAAAAGAAATCATCAAATTAAAAAAAAATGATATAGATATTTATATGAAACAATAAATAAATTTATCTTAAGATTCCAAGAGATTAGTCTCTCCTTCCTGTCTTCAAATCCCTTATCTACTTTGTGAATGGTCTGGTTATTAAAGTTTCCTTTGGGATAGTTTAATTTTTTACCACTTTTTTTTTTGCAAAAATAATACTTTAGGAAATAATAATAAAATTTTAGCAGACAAAGCCTAAAACAAAGCGATCTTGAAAAAACTTAAATTTAGATATCTTAAAATCATACGATTTGCATCATGATTAGCGTAATAAAAGACAAATGATATAAAACAAATAAAAATGGTCTTAGAATTCTTCAATTTAAGTTAAGATTAATGTTGAGAAAGAAATTTTTTAGCTGTTGTAGAAAGTAACTTTTATGCACAAAAGAAAAATTGTTGAAAACAGTAAAAAAAATAATTGTCAAACAAAAATTATAAGTACGATTTGAAAATAAAATAATAAAAAAACTATCTCAAATGAACTGCAATCGATATTTAAAATTAATGAAAAGTAGAGCATATAACTCTACTGCTTTCAATAATTTTTGTCTACAAGGAGCCATAAACATGTATAATATTATTGCAATTTAGAGCAGTTATTATAGGATACCACGTAAAATAATGATAACGTAGAACATCATGCAGGTAATATAACCATAAAGATCAAACAAGACAGTAAATATCGCAAAATAGAAAATTAAAGAAGCAAAAAAAATATAAGCCTTGCATGATAAAAACTACTAAAGCTTCTTTATGAGGAAGACAAGAAACATTAAGAACATTCAAAGCTTCAGTGTGCAGAACTAATACCCATTTGCAATGATAGTATCAACAGTGGCATCTAAAGGAAGATCAAAGCGAGAATAAGCCCCAAGCTCTATGATTTTCAAAATATCGTCACAACAAAGAGAGAAATTTTTGTTTTTCAAACCAATCCCAAAAGTTAGTCATTCATTAGAGAAAAATATTTTGTAATGAACTAACCCACAATTTCATGCTCTGAAGTACAATATTGATTTGAGGGTTATGTCTTATGCTGCTCTGAAGTTCTGTGACAAGGCCTCATAGTAATGCCTTTGCTGCAACATACAAATACAAAAGGAGGGAAAACAAGTTCAGAATTTGTGTAATGAGGTTTAGCATGGCTAGCCAAATAAAATCAACATAAACAAAAATCAGAGAAACATAAGAGGCCCACAAACAATGAAAAAAGAAGGTATACGATCATTTTAATCCCATAGCATAATATTGTTTCAATTTAATTCATCGACTATACAAAATCAATCCAAAATGATCAATTTGAGATTAAATTGTGCTAAATTTTGTAAAGTTGATGGACTAAATTGTGATCAATTTTATATTACAATTACAACATGAGAGTCTATTTTGAATCAATTTTGCATAGTCGATGTACTAAATTGGGACAACATGATAATATGAGACTAAATTAGCTCTACACGAATGGTCTGGAGACGCTCCAAAGATTTTTTTGAATAAAAAAGGTAATGTACTAGTTATTTCTCTTTTTAATACTTCTCTGAAACTGATGGGATAATCTTTTCAAGAGCCTTCTCAAAGTGCGATGTCTTGATCACCAATGGTTTATCATATGAAATCCCTTGGTCCACATGCATTTGTTTCTCCTCTTTGGCAGTCATGGCAGCTTCATTCACCTATTATAGAAGGAAAAAAAATTGCAAGCCAATTGGAGCATAAAAATGATGATGACAGCTCCCAACAGTAGTATCAAGTGTGTAAACAAAAATCTATTTGAATTGATGTTGTGGTGGAAGAGGCAATTATGTCGGTCAACATGCCCTGCTACATTATAAATGTGTGAATTTTATTATACATGTATAGTGCAACCTTACCAGAGCTGTAAGATCAGCCCTAGTGAGATTCTTGCAAGCCTCTCTAGAGGTAACGCATTGTCATCAAAATCTGGAGAAACAGGCTTTTTGTGAGCAAGTTCTTTTCAAATCAAACCCTGTTCATCAACGCTCGGAAGTGGAACATAAAAGAGCCTTCCAAATCTACCAGGTTGTAGAATAACAGGGTCGATCACTTCAAGCCTGACATATCATTTAGAAGTAGAAGTCTAGAAGAAACATTAATGGAACCAAATAAATTGCAATAATAAGCAAGGACACCTATTTGTAGCTCCAATGACATAAACACTATGTCGTTGATCAACACCATCCAGTTTTATGAGCAGCTGCAATTCAAAAAAAAAAATTATCCAAGCTTACAGATGAAATTTAAACAGAGATGTAAGGAACATCATTTAATATAGGCCACACAATAATACAATGGCATACTATATCCACAAGAAAATTTATCCAAGCCCAACACAAGAACATGCAGCTAGTACGGATTTACCTGTGACACTAACTGAGGAATTGGAAGTGATATTAGAGCCTCTGGAGCTTATAGGAGTAAGATCAGATAAATATGGCAACAAAGAAGTGCTGATTAGGTGGAGAGGCCTTCCCGATTTCGATGCTACTTGGGAGCCAATGGAAAGAATGAAAGAGCAATTCTCTTCCTTTCACCTTGAGGATAAGGTGAGTTTTTGGGAGGGAAGTATTGTTATGCCGCCGGCCCAGGAGGGGCCGGCTGGACCGGTCCTCTTTTACTCCCGCAGGCCCAAGCTGGGCGGAAATCAGGCAGAGAAAGGGGGGGGGGGGGGGGGGGGGGGCGCCCCCGGGGGGCGCCCAAAGCAGCCCTTGTGGGCCCAAGCAATGAATGTATTAATCTTTGGAAGGGAAAATTTGAATTAAGGGGTTGTTTAGGGATTTTTAATTATGCCTTTTGCTTTAATTAGAAGATTGGGGGGAATTTGTTTCTCAGCTTGAATTTGAATGAGATTTGAGAGGTAGGGTTTTGCTTTTGTTGGGCTCTTGGCATCGCCGAAGATTAGGAGAGTTATTCCTTCCTCTCAAATTGAAGGAAATTGTATCTTTGTTTGTTGTCTTGCATCTACTATTGGAATACAAGAGCTTTGCTTCGTTTTCTCTCAGATTTCTAGCGAATTTCTCTTGTTTTCCTCTGTTTTGTGGCTGTTCAATAATATTGCTGTTTGATTACTGATTTGAGCTAGGATTACTTGTGAATACAAGTACTTCCTATCAGTGACCTGAGCTGCATGGACTACATCTCAATGCTTTTTTTGTAATACATTTCCACACATAGCATTAAGCATAAGAGAACAAAGCCTAACGTTTGCATAGGTTCAAAAATCAACTACATGTACACCGCATAACAGTGTTCAGGGCATAAATGATATGTTATGTAAATTCGATACAGGCACACACTATCAAAGCCTTAAACAAATCTTAATAGAAAAAATGTGAATCATAAAACATAAAAGCAAAGAAGTATTAATATCTTCCATGGTACAAAATATAAATTTTATATACAACATACTAAAGCAGTGTGGTTACATAGTGTCAAGTTTAACACTTATGAATGTCTTACCTCAAAGTTAAACATAGTGATGCTAAGGTTCTCAATTTCTTCAGGCAACCACAGATGCCTCCACCAGTCAACATTTTCTCCAAGTTGAGGCCTTTTATCTATTATTCTCTTTATAGCCAGATTCCTAGCTTTACTCACCAATCTTGCCAAATCAGCACCAACAAAATCTGGTGTTAACCTATCTATCTTGAAGCGATCAAATTTACCCTCAATTCTAACGTTACGAGTCAGCACTGATAATATTTTTGTACGCGCATCTACATCGGTGACACCTAAAGCTATATCTCTATCAAAGCGCCCAGGTTTTCTCAGAGCTTGGTCAATTGCATCGGGTCTGCTTGTAGCTCCAATTACAAGAACGTAACTAGACATTCTATCTATTATTTTTTCATATGCTTCTTGGCCATAATCACTATCCATTACTCTCAAAATTTGTTGTGACTCATCCATGCAAGTCATAAGTTGCATCATTATTCTGCGTTTCATCTCCCTTTGTAAGTTTTCCCTCTTGGAAGCAATGACATCTATATCATCTATGAAAATAATGGAAGGAGCAATTTGACATGCCTTGTTGAAAAGGTCACATATGCTTTTTTCAGATGCACCTAAAATAACCATATTTTTCAATTAATCAATAATAATATATGAAAAAAATAAAAAATTATCAAATAAGTTGAATTTAAAAATTCAAGAATAACTTTCAAACTTGAAATCAACTTTAAATTAGTGAGTTAACACACTAACGACTTGGATTTCCTAAGTGAAGTTTAACCATACAAGAAAAAATGTAGACTACTTATTGATCTAAGTCGTTAGTCTGTTAACTCACTAATTTAAAGTGGGTTTCAAGTTTGAAAGTTATTCTTGAATTTTAAATTAAACTTATTCAATAATTTTTTATTATTCTCATATCTTATTCTTGACTAACTGAAAAATATGATTATTTCATGTGCATCTGAAAAAGACATACATGGCTTTTTCAACAAGGCATGTCAAACTGCTCCTTCAATTATATTCATAGACGATATAGATGTCATTGCTTCCAAAAGGGAAAACTTACATAGGGAGATGAAAAGCAGAATAGTAATGCAACTTATGACTTGCATGGATGAGTCACAACAAATTCTGAGAGCAATGCATCTGGCAAAGAAGCATCCGAAAAAATAACATATAGAATGTCTAGATACGTTCTTGTAATTGAAGCTACAAGCAAACCCGATGCAGTTGACCAAGCTCTAAGAAAATTTGGGCGCTTTGATAGAGAGATAGCTTTAGGTGTCCCCGATGTAGATGCGCGTGCAAAAATATTATCAATGCTGACTCGTAATGTTATAATTGGGGTAAATTTGACTGCTTCAAGATAGCTAGGTTCACACCAGGCTTTGTTGTTGCTGATTTGGCAAGATTTGTGAGTAAGGCTAGGATATTATGTGTTAAGTAGAGTTGCTTGCGTGCTGGATCTTCGTACAATGGTAAGACGTTAAACTGTATATTCCTCTATCGCCGTGAATATTCCTGGACGCAACAGTTTGACGCCATCTATGAGAATGCTAAAATCACGTTAAGATATTATATTAACTATAATTAATTACTGTAGATTCGTTAAAAATGAATTCATTAAGGGGCTGTTTGGTTGTCTGAAAAAAAAATGCAGCGTAAAGTAAATGCAATATAAAGTAAATGTAATGCATTATGAATATTTTGAAAATGTTTGGTTGTCCGCAAAATAAAAGCAAGAGAATTGTTTCTCTTATTTGGTTAGGTAGATCAAGAGTAAAGTAAAAGCAGTTTTTTTGAATTAATTTGAAAGAAACCATGGAAACTCATGCATCATATGTGAATATTTTCATCAAAACCAATGCCAAATATTTGAAAATTACTGAAATTTATGAGACTACAAAAGCACTTTATGATTTTGAATTTTATTACAAAGAAATATGATATTCAATGATTGACTTCATAGTAATATTCTTAGCATAAAATGTAGTAATATGGACAGATTCTCTCAGGGAATGCGAGCTAAAAACATCCGTGTATGAAATAAACGCATCTTAAGGATTATCCCTCAATAGAGATTCCTGGACATTCAGAATTTTCGTAATAATCATAATCTTTCAAGTATTATGCATGCTCCAAGATCCTTTTCATTTACAAAGTGCTATCAGGCACTTGCATTATTTTATGGCTTTAGGATTAACGATTTTGTATAAATAAACCACGAACTTGGAAAAAGTTCACAGATTAAAAACTAAAAGCTTGTTCAGGAAACAATAAACGGGCCAAAATAGTTGGGCTAATAATGATGATGACAAATAGAAGCAAAACAAATTAAAAAGCTTGTTCAAGGAAACTTTTATATTCTTTTATTTTTTCTTGATTTCTCTATTATTGAAATTCAAATAATTTAAGTTTCATTTCATTGGAATTTTGATGGTGTCCAACTTTATTTAGTTGGTCTGAGTTCTAGTGATTATAGAGAGCCATTGCCTGTATTTAGAGGTTTGTTTGGTTGGCTTAAAAAAATTCAGTGTAATAGAATTTTTTTTAGTTGGTTTGAATGAGTATAAAGTAAATACAGATGTTGGATGCAATCTGGGGAGCTTGCTTGAATTGAAATTGATGCTCACTCAAAATTAGGCAAGTTTAGTTTACCTAACACAATGAGCTAAAATAATTTACATGCACAACTTTCCTTGGCCTATTGGTTGGGAGCTTAGGCTTCCAATTAAGAGGTCCAGGGTTCGAGTCTATGTGTATGCGTTGTGTGTGAGTTTGCCTTAAATGGCCTAAATGTCCCAAAAAAAAAAATTTACATTGTCTTCCCACTTTTTTGATTTGATATGTATGTTTTTTTATCGAGGAGCTTTTCTTACTCAGATTATTCCAAAGTGATGAATAATGGCTATTTTGTTGGAGTGAGAAGTCTATTGTACTGTAGCAACATTAAAAAAAATGTTTTTAGGTTGAGATTAGATTGAGATTGAGTGCAATCTTCCTAACAAAAATTTAAATGATGGTGTCTAGTATGAGAAAAAAAAAAAAGTAAATCAAACTGAACAAAAATTATAGCAGCTTTGTAGCCAATTTGGTCTATTATTTCCTCAAGAAGAGCATATAAACAACCAAAAATTAGTAATTTGACCGAAGAAAAGCAACATTTCTATAAAACCCGAAAAAATTACTAAACTTATAAACAACCAAAAATTGACTGCAGAAAAGCTTATAAACAACCAAAAATTATAAACAACCTCTATTATTTGCCGAAAGAAATCTTATAAACGCACTTATGTTTGGGGACATGGAAGCTCTTCTCAAGGTGTCTGCTTCAGTAGCAGCTTTGATAGCCTACGCCCGCTTCACAGCATCTAAACCCACTCCAGGTTGCCGCCGCTTCGTCGCCCTCCTCCCAGCCATCTCGCCACTCTTATTCCTCCCCCTTTCCTTCACCTCCATCCACTTCCGAGGCATCACAGGCTTCTTCCTCGGCTGGCTCGCAGCCTTCAGATTTCTCCATCTACTGCCTCCACATTTACCCGATAACCTCGAGCTCGTCCTTTCCACCGCCGTGTTTGTCGGCGGCAGTCTCCTCGGCTTAGATCTCGAGCTCCAATTCAACGCTCCCTATCTCTCCACCTCTCTCCAAGATTTCTAGGGCCGGCGGTGGAACCTTATGGTCATCGCAATCCTCCGACCATCCGTGTACGGTCCCGTCCGAGAGCGGTGGGGCGCGACTGCTAGGGTCGTGGCGACGATCCTCGCCAATGGGCAAATTATTGCATCAGGTCACCTGACGGAGATCCGTTCAAGTTATTGAGTCAGGTGACTGAACTCAGAGATAGGTTCGGATGTTAATAAAATATTATTTTTAAATTAGCGCAAGTAAAGCGCAGGTAAAGCACAACTAAAGCGCAAGTCAAAAAGCGCAACTAAAGCACAACCAAAGCGCAACCAAAGCACAACCAAAGCGCAATTAAAGCGCAAGTTAAAAAGCGCAACTAAAGTGCAAGGTGACGCGACATTTTTATTGGATGTCCGAACTTATTTTCCGCCTCCGGTCACCTGACCCAATAATTTGCCCAATCGGGGAGGTGTCGATCTTCTTTCTGCTCCACGATGTGTGTGTGGCGGTGGAAAGGTGGATGAGGGCAGCGAAGGGAGGCGCCAGCGAGGGTATGAGGGTGAATCCAGTTGTGTCGGCAGCAATGACTTTAGGTTTTGTGGCTTTGACGGGGTTTTGGTTGTTTTTTCCGCTGGTGGTGAGAAAGAGCTCTAGGGCGAGAGGTTTTGTAACCCGCTCAATTTGAGCAGGTTTTGAAGTCACGCAAATGGCCCATCATAATACACCGTTAATGTTTTGGAGGAATTACTTACGTTCCGCTCAAAATCAAACAAACGATCGAATTTACGAAATACACGAAAGTTAATTACTTTATCTCCTAATTCTGCAAACCAAACAACCCCTAAATGATTAATTATATGTTTATCCCAGAAAGTTCGATTTGAATATTTTTGTAGTCTACGAAATTATTTTTCAATATTTCGGATTCAATTTTAACACTTCTAAAGCTCAAAAGAGCCTTTAAGATAAGTTTTGAGCTATTTAAAAAAATTTTGGAGTAAACTTTTTTGACATTTTTGCTCCGATTAATGCTCTGACTTCGCAGAACGCTAAAATCACGGATATATTTTTTTGACTATACAAATTCAACGTTCAAAAATAGGGGGCAGCTGATACGTCCTCAAAAATTGTTTTGATCGAGCACAAATGTCGAGGCATATTCAAGTTGGAAACTTTTAAAATTAAATTCAGGATCATCTAAATTCCAATTTCAACAAACTTATAGTCAAACTAAACATCTCAAAGAGACGAACCAAACAACACCAAAATTAGTCCAACCCAAGCCCAAATGGGTATGAATCAAGGGCCCGTACCATATTTGGAAGAGTCAAAGCATTATTTGGATGATAAAATGATATCCAAATATGATATGCTTCTAGTCAAATCGAGTGGCTCGGCGAGACAAATCCAAGGAGCCCAAGATCTCTGAATTCCGACATCATTAAGGCACATAAATAGTTGAAAAACTCTCAATGATTGAGGGAATCAATACGAGCAATCTGATGGAACACTCTGAACCTACCCCGGATCTTCTCTAAATTTACGGAGTATGCCACTCATGAATGGTGGGAAAAAAATATGTGTCGCTGCCACGCATACCACATTCGTCCTTGATGTGGGAACCCTTGCCTATTTAACACTGCACCCGGGCGCCGGTGCAGCGGCCCTTGCACACTTGTCACTGTATTCAGGCCATACAGCGCGTCGCTTCCAGGGGACGCCCTAGCATTAACACAATTTCTTAAAGGATTCATGTTCTATTATATTACATCGGTGCCGCCGATCGGGGAGGTGTCGATCTTCTTTCTGCTCCACGGTGTGTGTATGGCGGTGGAAAGGTGGATAATGAGGGCAGCGAAGGGAGGCGCCGGCGAGGGTATGAGGGTGAATCCAGTTGTGTCGGCGGCAATGACTTTAGGTTTTGTGGCTTTGACGGGGTTTTGGTTGTTTTTTCCGCTGGTGGTGAGGACGAGCTCGAGGGCGAGAGGTTTTGTAACCCCCTCAATTTGGAACTTTTATTATATTCAGTGAGCGTACGCAGAGGAACCTTCGGTTTTAGGCAAAAAACGCCTGTACCGAATTTTTTGAAAAAACTCGGTACATCTCGGTACTCGGTACAGGCGCTTTTTTGCCTAAAACCGAACGTTCCTCTGCGTACGTTCAATGGATAAAATAAAAGTTCCTCAATTTGAGCGGGTTTTGAAGTCATGCAAATGGCCCATCCTAATACACCGTTAATGCTTTGGAGGAATTACTTACGTTCAGCTCAAAATCAAACAAACGACCGAATTTACGAAATGCACGAAAGTTAATTACTTTACCCTCCTAATTCTGCATACCAAACAACCCCTAAATGATTAATTATATGTTTATCCCAGAAAGTTCGATTTGAACATTTTTGTAGTCTACGAAATTATTTTTCAATATTTCGGATTCAATTTTAACACTTCTAAAGCTCAAAAGAGCCTTTAAGATAAGTTTTGAGCTATTTAAAAAAAATTGGAGTGAACTTTTTTGACATTTTTGCTCCGATTAATGCTCTGACTTCGCATAACGCTAAAATCACGGATATCTTTTTTTTACTATACAAATTCAACGTTCAAAAATAGGGGGCAACTGATACGTCCTCAAAAATTGCTTTGATCGAGCACAAATCTCGAGACATATTCAAGTTGGAAACTTTCAAAATTAAATTCAGGATCATCTAAATTCCAATTTCAGCAAACTTATAATCAAACTAAACATCTCAAAGAGACGAACCAAACAACACCAAAATTGGTCCAACCCAAGCCCAAATGGGTCTGAATCAAGGGCCCGTACCATATTTGGAAGGGTCAAAGCATTATTTGGATGATAAAATGATATCCAAATATGGTATGCTTCTAGTCAAATCGAGCGGCTCGACAAGACGAATCCAAGG